GGAACATTTTATAGGTTATGTTCTTGACTCTGAAGCTAAAGTGTGTTAGCGTTGCGGTTCAGGTATCGACAAAAAATTCTACATTTGCTCTCAAAGTAAGCATCTGTTTTTGTATTGCGCTTGTACTGATATTTGTTGTAAAGCTTTAGATTGCATCAAAACTAACTTTGAGTTGATAATTTCAGGAATATGTTCTGTCCAATCACTCATAGTTTTTTTTCAACTAATTTCGGTTATTGGACATCTGTCCAATCACTGAAAAATGTTAAGTAATTATGTGTTCACTCGATTCAGTGAATCTTTATACAATCTTTATACAAGAATATTTTTCTATTTATATTACCTTGGAAATGGATTTGATAGTTATTGGTCCAATAGCTAAACTTGACCGTTCAGTAGCCGAGTGCGGTTCTCTAATATTTGGTCTACATTTTAGGAACTAGCAATATACCGAAATTTAGGCAATACGACAAGTCGAAACTTGAACACGTTCCCAGAGACATACAAAACAGCACAGAATCTTACCGAACAGCCGAAAAAAAGTAAGGAATTCCGAAATCCACTTTAGAATTTAAACTGAAACATCCCGGTCATAAAGAAACCTTGGGTCCATCGCCAATTTTAACAAGTGAAGAAGAGGCTTTGTTAGTTAGATAATTTGTATTTTATTAACACGAGACTAATTTTATAAATATTTATCTGCAGCTGGATAAAAGATAATGCTGCAAAGGGTGTTCCAAGAAAGGCTAACGATTTTGAGAGTACAAAGATTTTTGACTGTTAATCCGCGCGCTCACAAATTCAATGATAACCGACCTGTAGATGGGTGGGTTAAGGTATCCCAGCAGATAAGTAATGTATAATTAGTTACTTCTTATAGATTTTTTCAACGTTACAGGGATTTTTCAAAAAGCATTCCGATATCTCTAAAAGAACAGCTGAAGGGGTTATTTCGTCCAGTGCATGTGTCTCAGAACAGGACATCAGAAACTGGTTTGTCAATATCCATGACTGCCTCAAGCAAAAAAATCTAGAAGATGTGCTTAAAGATCCTTCAAGGATTTTTAATGCTGACGAGTAAGGATTTGAGATTTGTCCTTCCACTGGGAAGGTGTTTGCAGCAAAAGGGACAAGAAATATGTATTTTGTAGAACGCGGTTCTTCGAAAGAAAACATCACTGTCCTGTTTACTATCTCAGCAGATGGTATGACTTGCGTGCCAATGGTAGTTTTCCCTTATCAACGCATTCCTGAAGAAATGACTAATGGTATTAATCCTAAGTGGGGCATAGGAAGAAGCGACAAAGAACGGATGACATCCGAAACATTTTACCAATATATAGCAAATGTTTTCTATCCCCATCTGAAGGAAAGTGCCATCAAATTACTAGTGATCCTCTTTCTCGACGGTCATAAGAGTCACCCGAATTAACATCTGAGCATTCTATGTAATGAAATACAAATTGAAATCATTTCACTGAATCCTAATGCTACAAGGATTTTGCAACCCTGTGATGTATCCATTTTCCGACCAATCAAAGAAGCTTGGCGTCAGTCAGTACGAAAGTGGGAAGAAGAACATCCGGAGAAAATAGTAAACAAAGTGGTTTTTGCTGGTATTCTAGAAAATGCTGTTAATAAGAGCTTCAAAACAGAAACAGTTGTAAACGGGTTTAAAGTCTGCGGTTTGTACCCTTCCAATCCAGATAACGTCGACTATACAAAATGTCTAGGAGAGGGGACCATGCAGCAACCAAATACATATATGTGTAGAAAACCTTACTCAGCACAAGATGACCTACGACAAGTTCGCAACAATAGTTGGTCCCAAAAAAATCGAAACGTTCCAAAATATTGATGGAAAAACGGCAGAAAATGAAATTTCCGATGAAAATTTGCATCTATTATTAAAGACTTGAAGATTCTTCCGAAACGGTGATACAATACCTACGGATATAACAAAGCCAAAAAATAAAATTAATATTGTATAAAATATAGTTATAATGTCCCCAACAAAAAATCCTTCACTTGCTTCAAATTCTAGTGAAACTGAACAAACCGCAACCCTTAGTCAACCGAGTAACAGCAAAGCTACCGTCAATGTAATGTGTAAGCAAATAATTCTTCCCAACCGAGTCGTAGTTACAAACAAACTGTTAGGAAGCTTCCTAGAGCCACCTTCTGCACCAGCACGAAAGGGTAAACGAAACAGAGAGATTCTCTTTTGCTATAACATCTGAGCGATATCAGGAGATGTTCAGGCAAAAAGAAGAATGAAAGAAACAACAGGAAGATGACAAGGAAAATAGAAAAAGGAAGAAGCAGAAAAAACGAAACGAAAAACAAGGTAAAGGTAAGAATTTACAAACAGCAACACAGTGCTCTGCCTGTCTAAAGGGCATCAGATCTGCTGAACTACAAAGTGTTGACTGTAAACGATACTATCATCAAGACTGTGTTCCACAAAGTCACGAACATAATATACCTAGCGATGACGACTTATACATATGTCATAACTGCTGCACAGATTGAGTGATAGTGACGAGGATTGTGAAGATATGAATGATCAGGAAGTCGATGAATTATATGACCAATATAATCAGGCAAAAAAGCATTTTACAAATGATTAAACCACATTATATAAGACCCGTCCAATAACTGCATTTTCAGTGTCCCATATCTAAATGATGCGTCCAATAACTATAGCTTTTTGCATATGCTCAAATTATCATTGTTAGTATAAATTCTGCAAAGCTATTTTCAAATATGTTCTAGCAGTCTAGTTAATAAAGCCTCTAACTTCCTTTATATGTAGTTTCCATTGTCTCTTTGCCATAATTGAAAGTTTGGCTCTCATTTAAAGTTGTCTAAACCTTAACTGTCCAATAATTGTCTGGTTTACCCTACTTAAGAATACTAACAGAAAATAATGAAAATTTAATAGTACATGTGAATGTATACAGAAAAAGATTTTGCAAAGTAATGTTCAACTATGCAGGTGAGTACTTTTCTAAAATAAATTATTTAGTTTGTTTTTTAAAGTTATTGTAATTTAGTGATTTCAATGCTTGAGGTACCCCATTATAAAGTGTTATCGTGTTGTATGTGAAGCACTTACGGAAGAATGAGGTTTTGTGGAGAGGCATTGTGAGTGTCTCAGAAACCGTATGTATCTTCAGTGAATAGAATTTCGAGGGACCAGCTTGTCCTTTAAAAACAAGGAAGCCGAAGAAAGAGCTTATGACTATAAGTTTATAGGTGTAGCTCATATAGCTCTCTCACCTTCAAACATCCCAAGTCTCTTGAAAAACCGCTTATACAGTCATATTTTCTCAAATTATTTATTCATGTGCAGCATAAATCTTGAATTCTTTGTAAACGTTAAATTTTATCTAAAAACAGATTGTGGACATAATTATTGGATCGCATATTTTTTTAGTTTGACAATCGAGAATCGGCTTATTCAGGTATAACTGAGTAATTAAATTCAAGTAAGCAGATGTATGGAATTTGTTTTATAATCATAGTCTTCTCTTGCTCCAATAAACAGCACATAAGTTTGAGTATGACTGTTTCGAAAAGCAAGCGAAACGAGCAAAACAGATAACGCATAAGCTTTTAATGACCATAATTTAACGAATAATGGTCTTGTCATAAGGATAATCACTTTTTATAGTCGATTTTCATATTTCATAATGTGGTTTCGTGGAGCTCATAAAACGATAATACTCTGTAATAAAATCCAAATCCGGTTTGTAAAATAAAATATTTCATTAAAGCTCCAATAATATTTATAAAGATATGCGTGGTACAACCGAATTCCAACATCAGATTCCGTAGCAAAAAATGCAGAATAACAAAAACTGTCCAGCATCAGCGCGTGTATGTCCCTCATAATCTGTATGGAATGCCAATAGCAAGTGCCTAACGAACTTTGATCCAGGGCCGTCATTTGGTCTCAAGTTATTTTCGTATAACAAGTTTCAGGCACATGTGCACCTTGCGCAATGTGTTCTCTGTGGATTGCCAAAGTTGTTAAAATTTTAATGACCCTATAGTTCACTAAAATCAAGGGGAAAACTCATCGGCTGCCCGATGTTCAAGCAGTTGACTGTCCCGCAGGGTTTTTACGTAAAAAACCTATATAATGTCAAAAAATACAAAATGCCAACTTGCTGACTAGATAGTTCCTAGTTTGTAAGTAGTTAATTTCTCTATTGCTCACTAGGAGCGTTGTGAGCGTTACCAGAAGCGTCATCTGTGGAGGAATGACTCATCGAGCCGTATCAATAAAAGAGAAGCATATCCTCGGAAGCATAAGGTAAAAGTATAAGGTCTTGCTACGGAGAAACAGGTAGAAGTATAAGCATATCCCTGTTTTCATATTCATAATGATTACCTTATACTCGCGAGAATATCCTCCAAGAAGAAGTAAAAGGGTGACAGGTATTTGTATCTTGAGCGATAAAAAATATCAACAACATGAAATCAAGATTGAAGAAAAAAATCAGATCTAAAAAAACTGGTAATAAAGCACTTAAATTGTTAGATTGAGAAAGAAAGTTGCTGAAAGCTATGGAGGGTGACTGTAATCCTACAATTGGGAAAATTAGAGGTGCCATACAGGTTGGTAGTGTTCAAGAAGAAGGAAGTGAACTATATACCGAACGCAGTGATCAAACAGTTAGTATTACAGCGCCAGCAATTTAGAAGACATTACCACCAAAAAGAAAACTAGCAACAGAGAAATACAAAACTGAGGAAACCAAAGGGTTAACTACAAAAGAACTGCATCGTCTAATGCTATTAAGCACAGCAGTACCAAACAAGTATTTTACAACAAGAGTATTATAAAACGAAATTGGAAATGATGCAGCGTCAGAAGCCACCTGTAACTTATGATGTTCACGAAAATAAAACTTATTATAACTTACTTATAAATACACTTTAATCAGTAAAACTATTTATTATAATACTTAAGTTTCTTCTTATTTGTTGACCTAGTTGGCGGAGAGGAAGTTCGTCATTCTCATGGTTTCCTTCATCTTCATGTGGGTCTTGTTCAACTAACTCAAAGTCAGGATCGCCCAAGCTCTTCGCCACATTATGGAGTACAATACAGGCAATAATTATTTTCGGCACATTTTCCAACTTTACGCGGCAAACATACTGTAGGATAGGAAACTGGCATTTCAGTTGGCCGAAGCAGCGTTCAATTATAACTCTTTCTTGTTTTAAAAGCTTATTATAATTTATTTCTGCACCTGGAGTAGGATTTCTGAAGGGAGACATGTCATGGCTCAATACCATAACCGTCATCGCCAAGTAGTACAACATTTGCTTTATTTATCAGTTTTGATCTAGTCTGTGAATTTCTCCATATTCTGGAATCTTGCACCGATCCAGGCCAACTGACATCAACACTTAACTGACCAATACCTTGTTGATATCCAGGGTCACCGAGATAGCGTAGACATATCTTTATCTTATGAATTCATGAAAGTGCTCCTCCTCGAGTGAAGGTAAACGAGGTTTGTATGTTTTAACGTCCCTAACATCCACAATTTCCGCCCATCATCGTTTGACCACCTTTCATTACGAAGTTGAGTCTGCTACTGACCACATTCAGAATTTTTTAAGGATATGCTTCCTATGCCAAGTTTAAGGTGAAGATTATGAATATCCTTTTACTTATGTCACTGCTTTGAAGGATATGCTTATACTCAAAAAGCAAAAGCATTTACTTCAAATTATTATAAATACCGGCTTGAGGATTCCCTTCAAACTTTGCAACTACAATATAATATCCTTTGTTTTATGAATACGGCTCATCGACACGCTCATGCTCATGCTTTGTTGAATGGCAGAGTAGGAAAATCGTATTTGGGTGATTGTGTGGTGCTTGTGTGTATTGGTCTGCATGCGTATAAAATCAGTGACATTTGCTATGTGAAAAAATTATTACTGAATATGCTGTCCATCTATCTATTTATCTGTTAGTTGTCCCAAACGGGTTATCTATGTTGACCTTTCTGGAGAAAGGTTATGTTCAAAGCCATAAATTGTGATTCGCACCGGTTTTCTTGCGTTTTCAAAAAGCTTTGGGAAGCATTACGGAAAATCACCACCGCGCCAGCGCTGTGTATAAAAAAATACGAATGACGCATCACATGCAAAACACTTTAGCAGTGCTGATCAGTATTTTCTACTTGACATCGCAAAATATACGAGTATATAAAATTTTAACGATAGGAAATAAAAAATAATATAAACTGTAATAAATTGTTCACGTTTCATAAATATTTCTGTCTGTGGCATATTTCCTCACCTGTTGATTGTAAAATATTCCTCACCTACCAGGGATTTTCTTTCCATAATATCTCATTTTTGTAATTCAGCAAATTTGCATATGTAATTTCAAGGATGAATAAGATGTGGATACGCAACTAAGTTGTAGCTTTACATACATCTCAAGTAAGTGTATTTGACACAAGAAACCAATAGAATCTCTCCAATAACGACATCTTTGAAGCAGATTTCATTTCATCAGAGCCAAACATTGATATACCATGGGTTAACAAAGCCAAGTATTTAGGTCTTACACTCGACAAGGGTATGACTTGGCAGGCACACATCGAACAACAATTCCATATTACATTTCGGCAATCGGATCCTCTTTTATGTAGAACATAAAAATTGAGTTTGGTCAATAAGATTCGGATATACAAAACCATCATTAGACCTGCAATAACCTACGCATGTGCGGCTTGGTGCTTTTTACCTGTCACATATGCGTAAACTACAAGTTTTGCAGAGTAGAACTCTCAGAACAATAACTAATGCCCCATGGTATGTTTCAAACGATACCATCCATAGAGATCTTGACATCCCCTACCTTAGGGATTACATCATCGGTTCGGCACCACGGCGCTACTAGCAAGCAGAATCGCACAGCAACCCTTTGTTGCGTGAAGCAGTGGATTACAGTCATGAGATACGTAAGCATTCCAGGTCGCGACCCGTACTGTGAACAAAACTAAATTCGTGTTTAGACCTTTAAAAATTATACTTTTTAAAAACCAAACACCCAAAATTCAGTTCAGGGCAAATCAAAAATTTATATAGTACAACGTAACTGCCTTTGGATCTATCACACCTACATAAAACAATTCCTTTTCATTCCCTTCTCTCTCCTCCTTCCTTCCTTTCTCCCTCTCCCCTTTCCCATACAACTTGTCTTGTTTCTGGGCCACTGGATCTGACAGACTCACGACAGACACTGACAATTACCAGACCGCCTTGAGAAGCAGCGACGGGTAGTAGTAGCCAAGCGTTGATAGCTGAAGCGTCATGACGTTTAGGCGACACGTACAACTACAGAACGGTGGCACATCAATTGAACAACAGCTGGTTCTGAGTTGACATCTCGTAGAAAAACCCACATAATGTCGCAAAAGCCTATAATATGCATAATGTCACATTTCAAGATAGGTAATACCCCTGCTGTAGATGTCCGTAACTATTTATGGCTGTTTGTCGCTGCCCTTAGCTGTACTTTTAGTAATAGTTCCACCAAGGTAAATAGAAAAATATATTACGACATTTAATTTGATTAGACTTTGAAACAAGCGTATCTGAGAATTGTCCAACAACACCGTCCCAATGAAGCCCATGGAATGGCTGTATCACAGAACGGTATTAATAAACAATAATCATTGGTAATATTAGAAAATTGATAAAAGGTCTAATAGCAGTGACAAATAATTTAAAGAAGCTCTACATGAATGCACATATTCACTTTTCAACAGGGGATCTTTTCATTATCACTATTTATCTGACAGGAGAAATGTGGCTTGACCTCAATATGGTAAACGATTACCATTTCTCAGGTAAGCAGCGGAAAGATTTTTGTAGTACATTCTGAAGATGAAAATAAACAACTTCCAAACGTTGGCATGAAGAAAGGACACAGCTTATTCTGGCTTAAATTTTCTTGCGTAAATGGAAGCGCAACTAGGCCGAATGACCCTCAATATTTTGAAGATGGTCAGAAAATCTGGCACAAGTGAGACAACATGTGCCAGACACATTTGCTTTGGAACTTTTATCATTTTTTTCAGTTCAAAAGCTCAGGGCACACGTTGTAATCTGTAATATCAGTGATGCAAGTCGTGGCACATGATGTGTGCCGGCTTCTGTTCCGTAACATGTTGAAGACTATGAGGCGTTATATGTGGCCGCAATAATTTGCTGCAATGGAAACGTACCTTTACCCTTTTACCCATAAATAAATTCAAGACTGCCGAGATCGAGAAGCTACATTCAACATTATTTGAAATTAGGGTGCCGACATCGAGTCTGGCCAAATCCATTGTAGTCGTCGTCCCCCACATTTTCCCCAAGTCCTTCTATGCTCATTATGCAAATATGGGGTTTCTGACTCCGCAGCTAGGCTCGGGGTAAGAACTTCTGGTTGCCAGCCTATCCAATTGTCTTACCCTCTTATTATCAGGTATTGTATCTCTTCTCCAGTTTAGCGCTAAAGAGCATTGACCGATTCCTCAACTATAGGTCATGTTATCCTTTGAGGTTGTTTGACTGTTTGAGTATTGATTAGTATCCAGTTTATACTCCAGGTTATCTGGAGACGGACCTGATGTGATCGATAAAAAATAGAGCTCCATCGCTAGTGCATAATTTATCGCTAGACATAAAGTATGTCATTTTGTTTATTTATCGCATTCACAAATCATCACCTGCTAATATTAGCCGTGGGCGGAGTAGCAAATATAAATTTAACATTAATAGATGGAGGTGATTAATCGACGTAAGAGAATTGTGTATGCGGCTAGGTGTGATTTAATTAATGCCTATAATTTATGGTTTAATATACCTGGGAGAACCAGGGCACAATTGCGCGAAGAAACAATGAGATATTTAGTGCGCCACGTGGACTCTGCGTACACACAGTGCATTTACGTGGTCGTTACATTCAGTAAGTTCAGTGACCTTTTCATCGGTCGGCATGCGCTCTCCTTTTTAAAGTGCCTCTAAGTAAGCACTTATATTTTGTGAGAAACTGCCCAGCGTATCATTTCATAGACACTGCACCCTTACTAACCACTCTAATGCAAGGAGTGGAAAGGGTTAAGTCAAGGTCAAATCTTTTCAAAGGTCAAGTATAACAGACATGCTTATCTAGAAGGTATCATTACGTGTACACAGTAGCATTCATGACTGGCTTCGTCAGCACATGATATTCGCCTGATAGCCGTCAAAGCATTGGTGTCTTATAAGGCATTCTTCGATGTAGTACTCTAGCAGAACTGCTTCCCTCTGAGTTCTCTCTACAGCAGCAGGAGAAAAATCACAGTTTTCATCCATAGTCAAGAACCTTTCTGAAGGTGCAGTATAAATGGTAGCACTGGGGCATAATTGTTAGAGCTAAGAATAAGGCGAGTGCGTTTGACTAGCTGCTCGTTTACTTTATCGTAAGCACTCTACGATCCTGCTTCATGGCTTTGAAGATAGTACCCATCAATTAAGCAAGGAAATCACTCATATCATAATTACCTTTCAAAAGAACGCCTCCAACTACAGAAAGTAAGGCCTTCTCTATGATTTTGCAAAATCGCCTAAGCACCTCATACTTTTGAGGTGTGTATCATTCTGAAACTTGAGATACACGAGATACCTTTTTTACCGGATTTTCTCCGTTCCTTTTGTCGAACATACCTTCTTCAAGGCCACTCACTCAACCTTCTTTTGAAAAAATTTCTGCGTCATTTACTTTCTTGCGGAGATTGTGGTGTGGGTATCGTTTCATAAAGTTCCAGATGGTGGGATATTAGATCTCCAAGCATCAATTTATGGAGAAGTGACCTTTTATTTTGTACCTTACGTTTAGTTGTTTTTTTGGAATAGGTGCTACCCCGTCCATTTTCTAATGGGATATCAACTTTCAGCGGTAAGTTCTTTCTTGTATACGATCGGACCACGTCCATTAATGCATGTCATGAAGAAGCTTGTCTAATATCTGCTTCCTTTTAGTGGAAAGGCATTGCGGAGAACCACCACACTCCTCCAGCTTTGTTTTATAGCTGCCTTGAAGCTGTTTCGCAACCGATTTTATTGGAAGCCATCCCTTCCTCTTGACAAAAAACCCTCATGTAAACAGGTAAAATATCATTTTGAGTACTTTATAGATATTAATATATTGATTATTGCTGACAGAAATTCTTAGAGTGTACTTGATTTTGTTTGTCATTTTACGTGTTTAAATATGGGGCAGTGCCTACATGGCACCTTCTATTGAGAATTATATTACGTTGATCATG